GAGTGGCGGACCACATAAGGCTTCAATAGATCAGGCGTGGTAGTGAGCCGGGCGACGGCAAAGCCGCCTACCACCATACCATGGTCGTTCTTGAGCACCTACGTTGGGATTACATTCTCGCAAGATCTGAGTGAAAGCATCATAGAATGAACTAGTCTGTTGCTTATCCGAAATTTCACATTCCACAAAAACACATACTAGTAGTAGTCGCCAGACTCTAAAAATACTGCGAAGTGACTAGAGCACATAATGTTGTCTGTACCGAGTGCAATTGTAGTTCGATTGTTGGAAGAAGTATATGCAAATCAAGGGGCTCAGGATAGCCCTTAATTCTGCGTAACATGGAGAACTTAACCCATCAATGCCACCAATTTGTGGTACAAGATAGACGGTTTATTTCGGGTGACATGATTGCAGTTTCTGGTGCAAATAACGCTGTCAGACAAATCCGCACATGGAACCCTCTTTGAAGTCATAACCCTGGAGGCTAGTGCTGAGTTGAGCAGGGTCCGCGGCCCGCAACAAACTCTCAAAGATGGGTTGTGCTATATCGTGTAAATGGAAAATGAAAAGCGGTCTGACCAGCTACCCAGTGCCGTAGTGGGTAGCACGTTTGCCTTCTGCCCATGAAGTCCCGGGTCCGATCCCCAGTCGGGTCGAAGTGGATTCGCACTGCTCATGAGACCCAACCTGGTCGAAACAGCTGTCCAGTGCTTCCAAGCTTTTCAGTTCACGCTTCATTTGCTATATACACGACGAATTGTCATTTGAAAATAACCAAATCCACCATTACCCACATGAAATCTCAAATGTACTCAATGTGCCTGGTGTTTCATTTGAGCAGACAGAAATGGACATTTTCGGGGAGGGGGGATCCTGCACTCTTTGTTGTAATAAAAGCATAAATTTGCACACGCGCTTACGTGAAAGGGAAAGAGAAAAACAGGATGCATGTGTGAATTTAGTTTATGCTACAAAATTGAAATTATGACTTGTACTTTTTTAATTATGAACACTTCACTATCCCGAAAATTCATATCTTTTCTGCCAAAAGTGCATTCAGTTCTCGCCGGGTCCGAAATTGGACTATGATATGACAGTTCCCCTTGAAATAATACCTCTTTGGTGGTTTTCCTCATATCAGTTTAGGGCGTCTCTTTGGAAGTGAAAAATCAGCTTAGGGATTGCCCCTGGTCATTAGGCGCGACAGATAAAATACACACATTTTACCCTTTTCTTTTGAAGCTTAAGATTGAAACATTGATTTGGCATTGAACGATGTGTCATATAACTTCCAATCGTGCCATCCGCACCGTGTACTCAGTCCATGGATCATTTTGACTTATTTCAGTCACTCATATCACCCAACTACGTATCCCATGCATCCACTGCCATTTCCCCCTGCGTGCACGTATTTGGCCAGTGTTTATACTAGCAACGGATGATGTCACCTGATTGTGATCGATGAATGGAAGTGGTTGAAGTGCGTTAAAACAGCGTCCATGCTGTCTTTGTGGTGTGTAAAGCGTGACCGTTTGATCATAAGTTACGGAATGTATAGTAGATTCCTCTGGCATTTGACACGATAATATATTGTTATGACTGATGAGACCAACTCAGTATAGAATTCTCAAATAATCGATATTCGATAACATTTCCCCTCCAGACAGCAATTTCACTAGTAGTGAAATGGAACACAGCTGAATGCATGTAGGAACTCATACTACACCAGAAGCCTGCTCATTTATAGGAGGAATGCAAGCCAAATAAGTGCATATATATAATCTACTGATTGACTGGATAATTACTAAACTTCTTGATTGCCTGTAGATTCTGACCAATTACCTGCGTTTAGTTATCCTTGATGCTCTCGATTGTCCGCCAAACAAAGCAGTTCCGATGAGGAAGTCGACTCCCTGGCACCGATCAGTGTGCAAAACTTTGCCACCAGAAGTGCTTCCAGAGTACGACGTCAATGCGCTAAAACTATGGAAATGGTACTCCTCTTTTGCACTTTTCACCCGACTGAACGAGCCAACTCCTATAGACCACCATTTGTTTTTTAAACCTTAACCACTGAACACTGGCATCGGATAATAAACTGGTTTACTCCCAAATCGACACCCAGAATACCCCATTCTAGTCGTACTGTCCCGTACGTTTCTACTCATCAGGCCCCGCTCCAAAAAATAGTAACTATCTCATTTC